AAAGGACCACTTCTGTTGTATTCGATAGAGCCCCAGTACGATGGGTAGACATTCAAAGCATTTGCTGAGCAAATGGAGGCATGAAAACCAAAATGATTTTCAAGAATATGATACATTGTTATTAACTATAATCACCGTGCTGTAAAATAGATGTCTTGAACTTATTCCTCCATTTAACTGAAATTTTGAATAATTTGACCCACATTTCCCCAAAACCCAGCCCCCAGCCCCTGGTAACCACCATTCTACTCTACTTGAGTTCAACTTTCTTAGACACCACATGCAAGTGAGATCACAGGTTATTTATCTTTCTATGTCTGGCTTATTTCACTTAAAATAATGTCCTCCAGGTTCATCTGTGTTGTCTCAAATGACAGGATTTCCTTATTTTTTAAGGCTGAATAATATTTCATTGTGTATATATATCACATTTTCCTTACCCTTTCCTCTGTTGATGGATTCATAGGTTGATTCTGTTTCTTGGCTATTGTGAATAATGCTGGAATAAACATGGTAATGCATATATATCTTCAATATACTGACGTTATTTCCTTTGGATATATATACCCAATAGTGGTATTGTTGGATCTATTTTAAATGTTTTGAGGAGCCTCCATATAGTTCTGGATAATGGCTGTACTAATTTACATTCCCACCAACAGTGTGTGGGAGTTTCGTTTTCTCTACATCTTCTATAGCACACTTGTTATCTTTCATCTTTTTTATGATAGCCATGTGTAAATGTTTAAGACTCTAACACGTAGACTGAGTCTGTGTGTCTTTTATTTTCCTTTCCTATTTGTTGTTAATACATGTGCTGCACCAAACCGAAGTCTCATGTTATTCAGGCCCATTAATAGGTGGTAACTGCACATTTGAAATAGTATTAACTTCTATTTAGATAGCAATTTCTTTTTACCACACCCCACTATTTGCTTTAGCCCACCAAGTTATCATAAGGCCATGAGGGAGACAGTGCATGATCAACTTTTCAGTTTTTTTAATCATTTTAAGAGTAAAGAAACAGTTTCATTGTATCATTTGCTTAAAGTTAATGTTTGCCTGCTGATTCTAAATACAGTATATTTTGCCCACATCACAGGGCATTTCTAACAATGACATTATTGAGAATGGGATGTATGTATTTACCTGAGGAATTGGTTTGGCTGCTGTCAGTTGCACAGTCCCTGCTTTTGCTGAATCACACATGAGACAGAGCTTGCAGGACCTCTCATTCTTTCTAGGTAACTCTTTTTTATTTCATCTAATCTTTCCTCAAAATAAGCAGGTACCAGACTGAAGCAATAGAAAAGGGTAATTAAAATATTTATAGTATACTAATTGCCAGTTTATGTTCTCCACTGTATATATATTTTAAAGGTGTTATTATTGTAGGAGATCCTAAAATAGAGTAGTAAATGCATATTTTAAAGTGACAAAATTAGAATTTTTAAACACAAATTTATACTTTTCTTGGTATGTGATTTTTTTGTTTGTGTTCAAGTTGTTTTATTTTTTTCCTCCTACTCTGAAAAACCATTTTGCTACAAGTCCAGTTCTTTTTACTTTTATCCACAAGGAAGTCATAATCCCCTACTTAAATAGAAGCTGGTTACCATGGAAATCATTCTAATGCCACTGAATCAATATTTTGATTTTGCTGACATTTAATGTAAAAAGAAAAGACAGGCTGAGATGTCTGAAAGTCATTTTTTATCTTTGTTATAATGTTGATAGCTAGAAAAATTGTAAAGAAAACATATGCTTTATAATGAACTCCAGTTAACTCATGATTATAAAGAACTGAGAATTCATAAAAGACCAATTTACATATTTATAAAATTTTGGCTTTGAGTAAACACATATGCACGCAACATTTTCCCAATCTCTGAACTGAACCTGGATTCTATTCTGTAATTATTGAGGTCATAACTTAGTAGAAGAAATTTAAGTGTGTCCAGTTTTACAATTGCCTTTTTGTTAAGTGTTCTGAAGAGAAAGTAAAAACTGCCTGGAGAATCACTTTTCTATAGAAATCTAACATTTCGGCACTGGTTCCTAATAACTCACTCAGTCCACTTAACACCCTCACAGACCCACTACAGCTGAAGTTTTCTCAATCTGTCCTGGAAGCTCCTTTCTGAGGAGAAATGTTGGACTTGGATCTAGTGTTTAATGAGCCTCACCAACCATAAAGTAATTTTCCAAGTCTAACTTGAGTCTTTGCTGCTGACTTTTAGTCCCATTGTCTTCATCTGCTTTCAGAAGAAATAGATTATAGAGTGACTGACTTTTGTGTGATGACTAGCCACCGGGAACCCTAGGTCATTAGATGGTGAAGGGATCTGAGAAATAATTAGGAGCCTGTCCAACTCAGGAACTAGTTACCTGAAGCATTCCAAACAAAGGGCAACTTGTTTTCTTTCTTTATTATTTTTTTTCTTTACTACTGAATCACCACCCAAATTTTTCTTCTGTGGGACAGTAATCATGATTTTTCCTATATTTTCACTCTAAGTACCCCAGCTCCCCCGCCCCTCAGGGCAGCTACTCTGAGGTGTGTATTTTATACCTTTCCAGGATGTTTCTGGCAGTAGAGACAGGTATTCTGCTTGATACCACATCCCTTACTGGCTTTCTTGTCTGTCCCATTTGTCCTCTCCTTGGGGTGGTTCTTTTATTCCCCTTTATTATAGAATCATTCCAGATTGTATTTAGGTCCTCATCAGTCAAATACCACTGTCTTAAATCAGTAATCCTCTCTTGCAAACAATCTAATGCAATTGATTATGTAGTTTTCTGGCAGTAAAAGTAGGAGAGAGATGACTTCTGGACACAGGATCATAGAAGACAGAGAGAAATTAAAGGCTCCATGTATCAATATCAAAGCAAACCTGACAACAATATTTAAAATTTAAAAAAGTCAGGTCTTGGGGGGCCTTTAGTATATTAACAAGTAAACTAAACACCTACATTGTTTCTAAAGGCACCAATGTGTTACAAGCAGAAGGACAGACTCATAACCCTGAATTGTGAGGAAAAAATCCAATTTATAACATACTCTAAGAAGGCAGAGGAGTAATAGAGTTACACAAATAAGCAGACATGCAGACTGGCACACAAACACACACACAGATACACAAATGTTCTTTGCAGTACTAGTCATCGCAGCTAAGCAAATTGCAAGGAACCTCAGTATTCATCAATGAGATATGATTAGATAAATTTGATGTACACTACTTTCCATAAAAATGGTGTTTCCTGACAAATTGAATGCCATGGGAAAAAGTCACAATAGACTAAGTGAAAATACAAAAGACAAAACTCTATGCACTATGATTTGAATTTTGCGAATAGGCATACACGTACATGTTATTCACATGTGCTCTCACACACATACACATGCACATATGATGCATTTTTGCATAAGTATATATGTAGTAGAAAAAACTGGAGCTAAGAGGAGATATTCCTTATCGAATTTGTGAATTGGCTCCATTTCCAGGCATTTATCTGTGTCATTCAATATGCACCGAAGCTACTGATTTTTGGCTAAAGGCAATTGGGCATCAATAAGGGAGAAAGGAGGGATGAGGATGATGGAAGAGTTGGCACATACCTCATGGGCACCTCGTCTCATGGACATTTGAGCTTCTGTGGAAAGATTAGGCCAAAAGATGAGGAAGCTTCTGTGAGGGGCTGGAGAGCCCAGATGACAAAGAACTCTGCCTAGTTGAGGCAAGGACTGTGTTGCTTCCATTCTCTGCTACAAACCACTGCAAAACTTGGTACCCTGGGGGCTCAGGAGAGCTTGCTGTGGAGAGGGTCAGGGATGGGCAGGGTGGAAGAAAGACTATGAGGCCTGGTAGAATACAGCTGTCAAACTGGTCACTGGCAGCACGGGAACTTTGAGATGTTTTCCAAAACTGATATGTAAAAATCTGAATGGGTTTGTGCAATGGGCTGAATATTTGTGTCCCCCCAAGTTAAAATATTGAAATCCTATCTCCCAGTGTGATAGTATAGGAGGTGGGGTCTTTGGGAGCTAATAAGGTCCTGAGGGTGGAGCCCTCACGAATGGGATTAGTGCTCTCATAAAAGAGATTGGTGAGGCCTTTCTGCTATGTAATGATATAAGAAGTCAGCAGTCTGCTAGCTGGAAGAGGGCCCTCACCAGAAATGACCATGCTGGCACTGTAATCTTGCACTTCCAGCCTCCAGAAATAAATGGCTGTTGTGTATGAGCCATTCAGTCCATGTTGATTTGTTACAGCAGCCTGAACTGACCAAGACAGCTTATATCAAAGCACACTTAAGACTACTCTACCACTAAGGGGTTCTCAGGAAAAGCTAAGGAAAGCTGAGACTTTACTTATTCAATTAAGGGCTAAAGAACTGGTGAGATCTGGTGTTAACATGACTTAGTTTATGTTCCTAGACCAGCAGGGAGGCTGGGATATATTTGATTTGTATGTTTCATAGCTGAAGAAATATATAGATAAAGGTAGAAATTAGAGATATAATTTGTAGAGTGATATATAGTTTACATGAATATACACACATACATGCATTGATTTATATTCACTGGCAGGAAATACACCAAAACATAAAAAACGATTATTTGTAAAAGATAAAATTAGAGGATTTTTTCCTTATATTTTCCTGCATTAAATTGTTACCCTAATAATCATATTTCTATGAATCATACAAATACTATTAATAAAAGCAAGAAAATATAAATTTTGGATATATTTCTAGGCAAAATAATTTTCTAATATTTCGAAGCCTTTGTAGCTTGAAGGGGATAAGGAAACTCACATATCACCTTCCCTTTATAATGAATCCAATTCAATATACTCTTCTGGGTGGCATTTGGCAATACACCAATAAATAAATCACAGCCCCTTGATTCTTCTTTTCTAGGACTTCAGGGTGGTGGAAGCAGGCTTGCGTGACCCCTGTGGTGGATTTCTGGGGAGTGGGCACACGGCACACATTACCTTCAGTTCTCTCGGGGGGCTTGCTGCTCTTGCTGGCTGCTGGGCTGTTGACCGTCTCCGATGAGGTGCTCAGCTTGGTGCTGGGGTCCCTCTTGGGCTTGGGTGGTGGCTGTCTTCGGGAGCCACAGCTGCTGTCATCATCTGCACCCCCGACAGAGTGCAGAGACTGTGATCTCACAGAGAAGCCACTGGAACACGGATGGGGGAGTCTGTCCTGAGGAGCAGGCATTGTCATGAAGCCCATGCGGAAATGTTTGCCCACGTAACTCCCTTCGTGGCTGCGCCCTACTTCTCCACCTATGCTGTAAAAGAAAGCAGACCAAAAGCCATGAAGACAAAATGAGCCAGGGAATGCAGGATCATAGATATGAGCATGTGTATTTCACATACATGTGAAATTTTAAATTTTCATTTGAGACTGGTGAAGAAACATACCCTTTTACAAAAGGCTGCTTTATAAAACTACTTTGAGTAGCACGAAAGCATTTTTTACTTTCTATTAAATTGTGAGAATAAAGCAAATACAATTTGATTATAATCAGAAGTCTCAGAAATCTTAACACTGGGTTGGCCGGTTAGCTCAGCTGGTTACAGCCTGGTGCTATAACACTAAGGTCAAGGGTTCGGATCCCTGTATCGGCCAGCTGCCAAAAAAAAGGCGGGGAAAGAAAAGAAATCTTAGCACTTACTCCCAGATATCTTAATATCCAGACACACTCAATATCACAATAAAAAAAATACTGCATAGCACACACTGTCTTCAATTGCTTTTCTTTACTTTGAAGTAAATCTTACCAGTGGCTTAAAAAGTAAAGGATTCAATGACAATGACCCATAGACTACCTTTTAACAGGTGACTGAGTCCAATGGTGAACATGTGAGATTCTTCTTCACTTTATCAAAGTCATCTCTACAGTTATGTGCTTAATATATTGGGGAAAATTAAACAAACAACAAAGCTTCTGTTGCCAAGCATAGGAAAGAAAAGGAAGGAAGGAAGGAAGGAAGGAAGGAAGGAAGGAAGGAAGGAAGGAAGGAAGGAAGGGAGGGAGGGAGGGAGGGAGGGT